AAAAAAAAATTAACCACTTCAAACGCGTACTAAATATTTAAGCACTAAAAAGCCAATAAATTTAAGAAATATTGATGAATACAACCACAAAAAAAATGGAAATATCCGATTTAGTATCAGCGCGTAAATTTCGTGAATTTAATACAAAACAAAAGGAGGAATTATATGAGACGTTGCTGCAATTGATTGTGGCCATCGAGGAGATACCGAAAAAGTCCTTGCGGCGCACTTTGGACGTCACCTTGGCCGTGTTGCAGTACAAGGGCGAACAAGTGGCAGACTTACAGTCGCAATTGGAAGATAAAGAGAGCAGTGAAGGTGAGCCAAAATATATTAAAACTAGAAAATAATAATTTTTGCTTCAACATATTTGGCGTCCACTTGACTAAATATTTTTGTAGATGACTCACGTACAGACCGTTTGGTGGATGAGAATGAAAAGCTAAAAGTTATGTTGGAACGACTTGAAGACGAAAAATTAGAATTAAAAGATAAGGTTAAGGAGGTAAGTGTGCATGTATTACATAACAAATATAATTTTATTAAAATGTTTGTTTAAATATTTCGTTATTTAAACGCCATTAGCTCACTGAGGATATTTTCCAGCTACAAAAGCGTATGCAAGAAGCTGCTCAAACAGCTGCCGCTGACGGCAGCGATAAAGATTCGTCTGACCCGCTCTCAGAGCTGGATAAGCAAGAAGATTTGTTACGAAATATTAATTCGAAGAATAAACATATAAAGCGTTTACTACGAGAAATTGAGGTAAGCTTAGTACCCTGATTAAAAATATTCAAATTTAATTAACATTTCCACTGTGGTGGTGAATTTTAACCCTTTCGACTTGAAATATAAAAAAAACGTGTTTAAAGATTGCCTGCAGAATACCGTTAGAGATAATTCTTTTGCCAACACATTTCATACAGCGATCGAAAATAAAAGTTATTTGCGAAAACTCAAATGAAATTACTGAACTCGTGACTTAAATTTTTTGGACTTTTTTCAAAAAGTCAGCAATTAAAAAAAAACAGTTAAATTTTAGCTTTTATTTTCTCGGTTAATCAAAGTTTGACTTTAATTTGTTATGTCAAAAATAGAAGTTAAAATTTTACTTTTATTTTTTCCAGTCAAAAAATAAAGTTTAATAGCTAGTTTCACGAAAGCAATTTAAGTGGAAAATTATTATTTTTTATTTGAATTTAATTTGGAAACTGGCAGAAAAAAAAATTATTTCTCATTTAAATTGCTTTCGTGAAACCGGCGGTAAGTTTTACTTTAATGTTTTTCGCTCTAAAAAGGGACTTGAAATTTTACTTTTATTTTACCAATCAAAAATTAAAGTTTAAGTTATGACTTCAATTTTTTTTGCTCAAACATAGAAGTAAATTTTTTTCTTTTAATATTTCGGTCAAAAATAGATGTTAAAATTTTGCTTTTATTTTTCCGGTCAAATATTAAAGTTTAATTGCCAGTTTCACAATTAAAGTGAACAATTATTTTTTTATTTGAATTTAATTTGGAAACTGACCGAAAAAAATTATTTTTCACTTAAATTGCTTTCATGAAACCGGCGGTAAGTTTGACTTAAATTTTTTCGCTATAAAAAGGGACTTACAATTTTACTTTTATTTTACCGATCAAAAATTATTCACACCTGCCTGGTTATCAAGTTATCTGGTTAAAAAATGCTATTCTCTATTGTATTTTGTTTTTGTAAGCTGTGTTAAAATTATACCAAATAACCAGATTACCTGATAACCAGGCATTGTGAATACCCCGATTGTTTATACCTAGCAATAAAACGTTTTTAACCTAATCGGTTACAATCAAATAAAATATCAATAAAATTTTAAGTTTTATTTTTAATCAAAAAAATCAGGGTCGTATTAAACTTTTTTCTTTGATAGAAAAAATTTCAAATTTTAGCATTTATTTTTTATGATGAAACATTTATTTTTATGATGAGAAAAATTATTTATTACCTAAAAAATAAAAGTCAGAATTTTAACTTTTATTTTCGACCAAAAAAATTAAAAGTCTAATTTTATATTTTCTTTCTGAGCGAAAGAATAAAATTCAAAATTTTACTTATATTTTTGGCTGAAAACAAATCGATGAAAAAATAACAAGTATTTATTGACCCTTTAAAAAACAATCATAACAGTTACGGTCACTGATTTTATATTTTTAACACTCTTCCGCTTACACTTTCTTACAGGCCCTTCAAAATCAAAATATCGCTCAATCAAAAACTATTATCGAATGTGAAACGGAACTGCAACAGAGCAAAACGAGACTTCTACAACTTAGCGCCGATATAACACTCGTCGATAGCGAACGAAAGGCCCTGAAAGAAACCGTAAACGAACTGAGTATTGAGATCACGCGGCTAGAAGGCAACATTACATATCTCGAAGAGGAGCGTGAAAAAAGTGAGCACGATTTGAAAAGTTTCATAGAAAAGTTGGAAACAAAAGCACAATCTTGGAAAAATATGTTGGATGCAAAGGACAAAGAAGTGAAGAAATTGCGCGCGCGGCTCGAAAAAATGGGAGAGCCGATAAGTTTCACAGAGAGTTTGACGCAGGCTGAGAACGATGGTGCGGGCAAGAATGCCACTGCCAGTGATGACGAAGAGGAGACTACCAAGCTTTTGCATGTAAGAACTAATTTTTCTATTCAACAGCCTTATGCCCTATTGCAGCCAATTTTTAGGCGCAGTAGTTACGGCAATATTCATTATGAAAATATAGTTCATTCTACATATAACAAAAATCAAAGTTTCACACTTCAATTTCAAATTCAAAAATTTTTCACCAAAATTTCAAACTTTTTAGAAAAATTTCGAGTATGCAGTTTAATATGTAGCTTTTTTTTTGTAGTGTGAACTATATTTTTATTAATATTTATAAAATTAAAAAATATATATATTTTCAAAAAATGGAAAATTTTTACTATACGTTTTTCACTGACACTCACCGTATGTATCTGGCCACACTATTCAGAGAATAGCGATTGGACTTCAATATATATTAATTTTAATTAATTAATATTCATAATAGATATAATAAAAAAGTGTATTATTTTGCTTTATTTACCGAAAAAAGTATCCATAATTTTGCGAGTGTTAATCTCACATATGTACTACTAATAATAGCCGCAAAAAAGTGTAAAACTCCTTCAAACTAACTACCAAGTTATGCCGGTACTGGGGCTATGACTAAGTCATTTCCACACTCTTTATGTAAACCTTTCGATAAAACCCTGCACGGATGTGGTGAAAAAACTGACTCTTAGTGCATAAGTTAATGTCGAACCTGAGAAGGTAGTCAGAACTCTGTGCCAAAATTACTCTATAATGACATTCCGTATACCTCTGCTGGCGTGTTTGGTACAGAAACCATCCCCGCAGCATATTTCACTTTGGACAATGCTGCAAGTCTCTTTCAGAGGAAACCTAACTGTCGTTCAGCTTAAGGGCTTAGACTTAAAATACTACGAAATCTGATAATTGTCTTGACATAAAAATATATAGTGGGATTAAAAGATAAAATAGAGGACGTTCACTGTGACCTTGGTTCCATAGTCCAGCCCTATAGTCCCGATGAAACCTAACAATTACAGCTCGGGACGCACATCATTTGTACTGTGTTGTGTTCCTTTAGGGTGTTAAATTTATATATACATTGCCAAATCTTCAAGGATTTATGTGTACACATGAAGATCGTCATATCCCGGCTGCCGGTTCACAAACGCCCCATCTGTATATAAATTCAATATATCGGCAGCTGAGATATGGCGTTTTTGAACCGTTTGCGGAGATACGGTGTTTTCGAACCGGCAGCCGAGACAGGGTGATCTTCCACTCAGCCGTCGATATATAGCCGTATAATATGGCCTATGTTGCAGTCTGACAGCGTACTGCCATCTTATTTGTCTGAGCAAATTTATATATATTCCTGCCCCTATACGTTCGTCAGTTTTTGTAGTGGCTGTGTACGACCCTTGGATGTGTTTTAGAATTGTCTTGGTCTTAAATTTTTTTCTCTTTAAGATGTAATGTCTAATGAACGGGAATATCGAGATCTGGATCTTGGTTTTTTTCTTCCAATCTGCTTTAGTTCACTCTTCCTTTACCCATCACCTTTCTCGTGGAATTTAAGAGAGCCTTCTTTGCGGCCTATGACTTTATGCAGTCATGTCAGGTCAAGGATGACTTCCAAGCCTGTGTTAGGAAAAGTCATGTGCTCGTCAGCCGCTGAAGCTTGGTAAGTAATCCACTTAGGGCCATTTTCTCAAGTAAAATATTATCGCGCTTAAAACACAAATTTTGCTCTCAAAAAAAAAAGAGCAGATAAATTTTGCAAGCTACTTGTGTAAACGGTCCTTACTGTGTTGAAAGAGGTTCTCTCGGACCATGGCACCACTCCATATATATTACTTGTTGACCTGACTATCATGGTATACATCCACCCCAGGATAAAGAGGGCTGTAGTAGCCCTAATTTGATAGTCAGTCTTCAGGACACTCTTAAAGCTCATACAACTGTGACAACGTAATAGTATTTTAAAGACAAATATAGCCCCGAGATATTTCTACCTACCCAACCAGTGCCCTTCGAAATTTCCTCTCATTTTCAAAAGAATGACGTCTGCTTTGGCAGGATTTATATTCAGAATCACCGTGCCACAACCCCTCTTAGTAAGTATATGTGCTTTTTGGGCACTGTCACAGAGAGTATTTTCTAAAACTCCCCTAGCCGTCTATTATCCCATAGTACCTCAAGCAGTTCATTTACTAACAAGCTTCATAACAAGGTACAGTATACTTCTCCCTGAAGGCAGCCTCTCGCGATCTTCAGCGGCTTGGTTTCCTACTGCCGTTTTCGTCCGTCTGGTTTGTAGCATTACACTAATCTATCGGCGGATATGAGCAGCTACATTGCTTCTATATATGGCTGAATCCATGGCTTCATATGCGGTGTTGTCAAATGATATTTTCATTTCAAATTTCCCTCCATATCTACGAATCAACGAATCAATACTCATACTCTCTTCTATTTCAGGCTCTTGAGTCTCGTGATAAGCATATCGAATCTCTAGAACTCAAAATCAAATATTTAGCTGAAGAAATGATGTCTTCCACTCGTCTAATGAACCAACTCTCTGCTGAAAAGGAGGAGGCGCGCAATCCAAACAAAACTCGCGCTTGCTGCAAGACCATCGAGGAGTCTCTACAGGCGGCCAATGAACGTTGTCGCGAGCTCTCTGAGATGCTCGAACGCAGTGAAGAGGATAATGCGCTAAAGTCCAAGCAAGCCATGCACGCCATCTCGGCGCTCGAGACATATCAGCGTGGTGAAGATGGGCTGGTAAAAGCATTGCGTAAGTGTACTGCGCTCGAACAGAAGGTCATTTCACGTGACAAGCAAATACGGGCACTCATCATGGAACTGAATTCCATGCATGAAATCGCGCACGAAAATGGCATACTACGAAAACGATTGAATATACCGGATGACATGGTGATATCGGCGAAAAATCTGGTGGCTAAAGAGCGTAATAAAGACAAGATGATTGAACGATTAACATTGAAGCTGCGCGCTTCGGAGGAAATGCGGCTGCAATTGAAGCTGGAGAAGAGTGACTTGAGGTAGGTGGCATTTTTTTTTAGTAACTGTTTTGAGGGATGTTATTTAAGTGCTTTGTGAACTGTAGAAAAGAGCTATTGGAGCGGCAAAAACTATCGCAAAACCCAGTTGCCGCACCTACTGTGGAAGAGGAACGCGCTACTATGGATAGTCTACGCATACCCAGTGAGATCGGCGAGGTGACGGAGAGCGGCAATGCAAGCCACGCGGAGCGCAATGCGGTGTTGAACTTCTGTGCAAATTGCAAGTTGTCGCTGGAGGTGAGTTGAGAGACAAAAATTTTGTACAAAAACCTTTACACACATACATATTTCTCAACAGATACCAGATGAAGCCAATCAGGCTGTAGCGGCCAATCAGCTTAAATATCAGGATGTGCTGGATGAAAATGATACCTTGCGTGCTGGCATGTTGGAGATATTGGAGAAACTCAGAGAATATGATGGTGAACGTCTAAAAAGAATTATATTTTTCCTATAGAAAGTTGTAAGTGAGTATGCCCTCTCTTTTCAGCTTCCTCCGATCACATTACCATCGATACGGAAATGCTCTACCGCCTACTTGAAGCGTTGCGTACTAGCTCGATCCCGAGTACTCCAAAGCGCCTGCAAAGCGAATTACAAACTTTGAAAGCGCGTGAAGAGGCTTTGCGTGCACTTATAAAACAGCAGCCACACCCAGCACAGGATCAGGAGTATGAACAAGAGACAGACGAGCTGAGCTCTGTAGAAAGCATGCGTGAAGGTACAAAGCTACGTAATGGCTTTGACGACGAGCTATCGCTGCACATACCCAAAACAATGGACTCATCTACGCGCCCCACCACGCCCAACAAAAATATCAAGCAACAAGAACTGCCGGTTATACCAAACGACGACAAGTCCACGTTTGATGTTGAAAAACGCGAACTTCAGCTACAAGTTGCCGAGTTGAATATCTATCGCCAGGGTTTTGAAGATCTACAACAACAGTTGAAAGTGAGTGACGCAGAGCTCACACAAAGCTATGCCGATTTAAATGCAAAACTGGTAAACGCACAGCTGGAACTGACTAAAGAGAAGTCCTCTTATGCATTCATGCGCGTGGAATTCGATAACACACTCAACGAAGTCAAACAAAGTGAATTGCGTCATATAGAGCAAATGACCGCGCTGCAAAGAGAATTAGCCACACTAAAAGATAAGCTGAGCTACCTCGAAAAGGACTGCAGTCAGTTGCATAATTCTGGATATTACAGCAAAGAGGACTTCTTACAAGTGCAAGCAACCAATTCAGATCTACGCGCGCAATTGGCCGCTATCATTGAGCAGCTGTTTGCTGACAAATTAGACCCTAATCTCAAAATACCAGATATCTGTGCAGATTATGGCATTATAAATGAGAATATGCAATTGGACTATTTAACGATGGACGAATACCGCGAACTGCAGGCATCACTAAAGGAAGCACAACAGCAGCTGGACGAATCGTTGCGGAAGTCGGCACAATTAGAGAGTTTACTTGAGATTGCCCAGAGTCAGATACAATCGCAACAGAAGTTGTTGAATGAGATCACAGATAACCATGTGAATTTGCGGCATCTGGTAGCTGATCTACAGAGTAACACTGAAGAGAAGTTGTTACTGGCTAAAATGCAACGTGAACTTGATAGTGGTGAGTAGAATCCCGCTGAGACAGAGCTTTGAGCGCATTTGATGGCTTCGAGGGGAATTGTTTGATGAAAAAAGAACTTATAGGTTGATAAAAGTCTAGAAGATGCATCAAAGAAGAAAGCAATTAGCTGCTTATAGATGCGAGATCCTTGAGGACCAAGTAGCTATAAAAAGGCAAAGGCAAACCTCCGAGCGTATTTCTGTCATGAAAAAAGCTTCTCATAAAAACCCCTTTGGCCTTCGGAGGCGTCGTAAAACTGTGGGTCCCTCCATTTGTGCAACAACATCAAGACGTGCACCACAAATTGCAGCAAAAGCTCGGCCAAACACTTAGCAAAATTGTAAGAGCCTAAATATTATTAAATATTAGCAGTAAAAAGACTAAAACTCCACACCAAGCTTTTCAAGCTCCTTATGATACCATTATGTACTTGGAATCTCTACAGAATCTCGTCAGTTATTTTAGATTTGTATCCACCACTTCATATGGAACGCTAGGTGCTACAACCTTTTACTATACAGTGCTTAACGACTACCGAAAAGAAAAAGCTGTCTCTTCCTCCTCAGAGATTTTTCATCTTTTCCAACATCTACAAAACGGTACTCAGAGCCGATCCGCATGTTTATTTATAAGACAGTAGCCCGTTAACACTTCGACGATTGTTAGATATATCCCCTCTTCTTAAATAATGTAAGCTTCAAGCCCTATTGCGGGTGGCAAAAGGTATGCCAATGCTTTGTCTTCGTGGGGGGTGGTCGTACCCCTCTACAAGTTCGTCGGCCATAGTTTCCTTTTATATCCCTGTGATCGGGTTAAGACTGCCTCTGGCATAGCTACAACCTCAACCTTGAAGACACTATTCTCACTACTCCATTCAGCTTTGAGTCAAATGTAAAAATTACTAAAATTTAAACGCTTTATCCTGCGTGATCTCGCTATTAAAATTTCTATCCAGACCCAGGGTTTGAGCCCACCGGTATATGTTGACCGAAAGAGGGTCAAAATTGTTCAGAGTAATACAGCGGCCCTGCTTTCTAAAAGCAATAATATTTGCTTCGTGCTATCCTGCAATACCGGAGATTTAAAAAACTTTAATGGAGCTTTCGTTGTTTCGGAAAACATTTTGCCCTTCCATGGTTCTTAAATCGCTAACCAGAAGCTCTTGCGACAAAGACAGAGACACAATGCTTACAGCAGAGAAGTCGATCGGCCAACCCGTTATCAACTACGCAGACACAATATGGGCTCCAGGCACAGGTAGGACGCAATCAACACCATTTCGCGCCGTTCTACGGACCGTAGTGGGTTGCCTCCTCATGACGCGTGATCATCTTCACGCAATTCTTTCGGCGATGTCTGGGTAATAGGAGATATTGAACTGCCTAAGGAAACCCAAATACATACATAGCACTAACACAACTCCGTTCTGGATACTTCAGTAGATAGAACTCCTACCTATCCAGAATACGACCCCAACATCGCGACACAAATAAACGGTACACATTCCCGCTTAAACTCATACCCAACCATACTCCAGGCGAAAGTCTTCGCAAACGAAATCTGTGTTCGAGAATGTCTTCGTGGAAGGACAAACGAGGCCATAATAAATATTATTTCGATTAGTGAGGCATCATTAAAGGCTTTAGATTCATTTAGAATGACATCGAGGCTTGTGGACAGTAGGAAAACTCGTTTAAAGGTCCTAATGGCCTTGACTGGAAGGGTTTGAAGGCAATGAAAGGACTGCCTGTCTCGCAGTGCAGAGCTACTTAGAATTTGAGGAGAATGTCAGATTGCTACCCACTGGCGGAGAGCAAAGGGAATGAGACAATCAAAGAAATGTATAACTCCTTCCTGGAGGAACTCCAAAAGACTACTTGAACTTAGCCGAGAGGGTCTTAGAACTCTTACAGGCTATTTAACTGGGTACTACAATTTAAAGTACCATTTGAATAAAATTAGACTTTATCTCGAGATTGACTGCAGGTTTGGTGGCCTGGTGAAGGAAACCTCAGAGCATATTCTTTGTGGCCTACGTAGTATCATGATTCGTAGACTGATACTCCTTGCGGAGCAATTATATTCTCCATACAAAATTTAAAACATGACACCCGCCATTGTGCTTAATATCTTAAATAGCCTAAAGTTGGAGTGGCTACACAATTAGGATTTAGCACAGTCGATTTTTTAGGTCGCGGCCAGGTATACCCACCCGACGTCATAAAAATAATTGTGATGTACAAGTTACTTGAAATGTTCCAAATTTTGGCGTGGAATATTAGCGGAGAGTCTTGTAGGACTAGGCGTAGTCCCAAGACAATTGTGTCTGATTTTATTCATTAGTTATATTCTCCTTTTCAGCCAAGCAAGAAGTATCGAATTTGCGTTTTGACTTTGACCAACTAAAGCAAAAGTGTGCAACCCTAGAACGTGATTCAGATGCTAAAGACCAAAAACTTATCCAACTCACCAAGGGCTTCCAGCTGGAACGCAGTACTAAAGACATCAAGATCAAGTACATACATACATATAACGAATGAGAAGAGTTAACTAATTTATTATTTTTTGGAATTGTAATTCTTCGCAGGTTTCTGCAAAAGTCGATGTATGTCTTGCGAGAAAAATATGCTAAGTTCACGCCTTTGATCTTCCTAACAAACTTCGTTTTTGCTTATACTAAATTTGTAAAGAAATCTCTTCGATCCACTGATAATGGTAGAGGCATCAAAGAGTTAAGTGAAATCATTAAAGAGTCAATTATTGCAAACTTAAAAAATGAAAATATAGCTGTGGATGAATCGCAGAACTTAATCGAGGTATGATTTACAAATGTAACAGAAATTTATGTGCAACTTAAAATCAAACAACTCTTTCAGCTTATCAAATCAGAAACGCAATGCAAGCTACTCGAAAGAAATTTGCAAGATCTACAAAATAAATTCGATTCCTTGCACGAGGAACTGCTGGAGCAACGTATACTTTCAGCGAAGGAGACTGGGCATTGGCAAACAATTGAGGCGCTTTTCGGGAACGGCGCGAAAGACAACAATCGAGCAATCGCCGAAGGGGAGAATAAAGTAAAGGAAACAGATACGAAAACAGAGGAGCAATACTCTAGTCCGCGACAAAAAGATGTAGCCACCAATACAGACGCGCCAGTACCAGCAGAACGTAAGCTATCAGCGACGCATGTGCTTAAGAGGAGATCAACAGTTGAAATGTTGGATAAAAACCTTTCGCCAATCGGCTCACCAATACGACGCATACGCAAGGCTGACGCTACAACACAAACAACTATTGATAGAAGTGAACCGCATTCTGTTGAAGTGCGTGATGGAAATACTAAGACATCAGACCAGCCAAAGTCCACGAATAAAGTAGCATTAAGTTTAGCAGCTAGACAATCCATTCAAGAGCCCGATAAAACGAGCGAAGAATCGACAAAGGGAATTATGCTTATGGATCAGCTGCTTAATAGAGAAACCAACGATGCCATCGTGCAAACAGCAGGTGAGCTAACGGAATGTCAAAGCGTGCAAACCGAGACGTTAGCGGTTGGCGAACCCCAACTACGAGATGAAGTGCGATCGACAGAGCTTGAAGAGCGAATAAAAGAAATGGGAGAAAAATTGAGTGAGCGAGATATTCGACTTGAAGAGAGCAAAACTGAGTAAGTGCACAGGCATCATAAGATATGTGTCTCATTTACAATTTTCACATTAGAGTCAATTTATTCGATGACTTTTCACCCTGTGTGGTCGATTTGCGCGTATCTGACAATTCAAGTTTTCTTTTACGTAGTTTGATAATCTATTGCTCATAATTGCTTGCGACATTTTAAGAGTTTCCTGGAGATCTGGAAATTTAGAGACAACTCTTGTTAGTATACACCACTTTCGTTCGGACCATATTGTGGTAGATTGTGACTATGTTGCCAGAACCGAATCTTCTTTCCATTCGCTATTCGAGTAGATTGTCGTCGAGAAGCCTTTTTGAAGTGCTTAAGTCGTGTAACTAGACAATTAAAAGTCAAACCGGCAACTCCTTTAGCTTGTCTTTGCTGTGACCCAATGACGAAAAGTGTGTGGAGGTTTGACCGTCAAGTCCTCATACTTCTACTCACTCGTTATAGTGTCTCTTAACCAATTCGCAATTTTAGCCATTTTAAACCCCTAAACTCGGAACAAACCTATAACCACTTAAGGGTTTTGATGAATTTTAGTATATAGCCAATGGGCTCTAGTTTCAACCTTGCAAAGGCCGGCCACACGCAGAGAAAGTGTTCAACAGCCTAATTTTAGCCCGGATCCTTACAGCTGCGGCAAAACTTTTCGGAATACACACCCATGTGTCCATGGCCTGTGGTGGCAGCCGTGAGTTGATCTTTCCTAATAGATCTCTGATTTAGAGTAGGTTTTCCAGATCTTACTGGCAATTCTATACAATACTGTACTACTCTAATTCTGCTTAGCTTTCGAATTTCGATAATTCTGCTTTTGATTTCACTAAGCGAGGCGCAAATGTCAATCGCGTGGGACACATTTTGTGCAGAGCCGCACCTTACTTGTTCATCCGCTGTCTCATTCCCGTATAAGTCCCTAAGCATTGGGCCCATTTTATGGTAGTTTCGAGTTGTTTAGAAACTGAGTTCAAATCTCTTCTACATAAATACAGCTCTCCCCATGAATAATTGCCCGACTACCTGAGAAAACGTTGACCTGGGGTCTCGCGTGTGCTTGGTGTTTTATACACCTTATCGTCTCCTTAATCACAAATGTTTCCGCCTGTAAATTGCTCACGTGGTCCGCTAGGCGAAAGGCCAGTGTCGGATTTCATTGCGAGGCATAGACGTAGGCATTCACTTTATGAGGTTAGAAATAGCTGGAATGTGGCTTCTTCCACAGATAAGAACTTGTATTTTCATCAAAATCAATGGAACTTGGACTAAATTTTTGGTAAAAAAGCGGATCTACAAATCATTCATTACCATACCGTTATTTTATTAATAATTACTACCTCCGTTGCCTTTGCGAATTCTTTCCCTTGCCCATTGACTAGATATTATAAGAAAAGCAGCATTTTCTTTTTCCAGACTTATAACAGCTACTAAGCGTATTGAAGAACTGCAAGGTCAATTGGAGCTCGTCAAGTCTTCCAGCGAAACTAAGGTAGCTGCTCAAGCGGACACTAGCCCAAAGAGCGATATAATTGAGGTATTGTGAAGATTTTATGTCTTTGTCTCTCTAGATAAATATGTAGTATTTGAGCAAACCTACCTATTTTCTCACTCACTTCCAGAAAACCATACTCTCATTCCATACGCTGCTCAGCGAAAAAGATAAATCCATTAGTAAATATCAAGATCTATTACAAACTGAACGTGAGCAAATACAAAATACCACCGCCAAGCTGACCAACGAAATTGGCGATCTCAAGAGTACGATCACGAACTTGAATTTCAACATTAAAACCAAAGACATGGAAATACTCGAACTAAAGACACAACTGGAGATTGCATCTGTGCGTCGACATTCTGCAGAAAAAATTGAACTGGCAACAGGAGCTAGCGGTGGTGGTGGTGGCGATGAGAGCGGAGATAACAGTTTGAATGAGCTAACCGATGAGAAAATCGAAGAGATGTTCCAGCAGGACCCCGTACAAAACGGAGGTGAGACTACAATCGCAGCAGATGGAGGTGAGCAATTGGAGAAACAGGATACCGAGTCGATGAAAGAGCTACCAACTTTGTTGAAGCAAGTGAAAGAGCTAAAGGATAAAGCTAGCTATTGGGAGAAAACGTTGGCTGTTAAGGAGGAGGAGCTGAGTTTATTGAAGGAGAAGTATGTTATGGCTGTAATTGAGATCATTGCCAGACCAGTCGATAGAATATGTTTTTAATTTTAAATTTATTTACAACTATTCAGAGTAAATCTTTACGAGGAGCGAGAAAAATCAATGGAGAGTGCCGTTAACCCGGAAATGGAACAATTGAGGCAACTACTAGAGGAAAAGGACAAGCATATCAATGAACTTACGGAAACCCTTAACAATTTTCACGTAGGTGATTTTACCACAACAGAAGATTATAATTTTTTTGTTAATTCGCAGAAAAAAATTATTTACCGTAAAATTTTTAAACCACTTTTAGTTTTTCGATTATTTGTAGATTGTTGATATTACCCTTAATTCTTACTTTTTAAATTTTTTAATATTCGGCAGATATTTTATTATTTTTTAATGGTTTGCTAAACCTAATCGTTTTCTTTGATTTTTATATGTTTGATCTATCAAATGTCAAATATCGAAAAAAATTTCTTTCAAAATATCTATATATTCATTCACTCGAGCAAAAAAGTTTTAATTTCTAAAAAATTTAATTTACGAACCAAAAATGATCGATTAGCAAAAGTCTTTAGAAACGATAACTTATATTTTTTGTTATGAAAATGGTTAAGCCTTTCTTCTTTTACAAATAAAATGACTTTAATTACACGTTTATAGCCGCAAAACAAAGTCAGGGCCGGAGGGTACGATTTCACTCTATTTCCTGTATTGGGAATCGAACTGCTTCATTCATTCTTTTAATTTTTTCATATCCATTTTATGGTTTGTAACTTCTATTTAATTGGTTTTTCCGCAAACTTTCATTGCAAAGTTGTTCAGAATGCCATAGCCCTTAACTTTTGTGAAAATACCAAACCCAAAAAAATTAGTCTTAGAAACTTTTAGGTGGAAAATCAATAAAAAATAATTTCAATTGACCGTTTTCCCGCTATCACCCCATTAGAACCATCCCTGGGGAAGGAATTTCATTACAACTATCCATAAAATTCTAACTTTTCATAGTCACTTCCTCGTTAATTACAAAACAATTTTTTGTAGTCATTTTGTAGTCGATTTAAAGCGCAAAAAAAATATGACAAGTAATTTTTAGCAAAAAAAAACAGACTTAAAAAAAAATATATATATATATATACTTAGTGAACCAATGATCGGATCTAAACCAGATTAGTATGGGACCACCTCTGAGACACTGCTTTTCCGATGCAAAAAGAATTATCGAAATCGGTTGACGTGGTCCAAATTAAAAAAAAAAAACAAAAAAAAATATTCCGACGAACTGATAGCCTCCTCCTTTTTTGGAAGTCGGTTAAAAATACACATACGTCTTTATTTTGTATGAAAATTCACAATTCAACCTTTCAGGGTGTAGTCAGGGGCCCTAGGGAGTGAGGGAGGGGTCTAATTAATTTTTTGTAGTCATTTTCGATTTCAGCGGCTCAAAAAACATAGGCATACACATCCATCTCAGCTCTGCGCGAAAAATGGAATTTTAATCCCCAGGGGTTGTTGTACGGGAAAATGATACTGGTTTACAGCAAAAATGTTCAATGGATGCCACTTTCCAATTTCTATGTAGAATTGCTCTGTGATTCCGAGCTTATTTTTAACCGACTTTCAAAAAAGGAGGAGTTTATCAGTTCGTCGGAATATTTTTTATTTAACTTTTTTTAATTTTTTTTTTTTATGTATGTTACCGCATAACTTTGGACCACGAGTACCGATTTCGATAATTCTTTTTGCATCGGAAATGTAGTGTCATGCTAATTTGGTTTAGATCCGATCATTGGATCATGAAAAAATTAACGGAACTCCTAAATTTTTATATGTGATTTGAAGTCGGTTTTGTTTTATGCTTAAAAATTACTTGTTTTTTATGGATACGTTTTCGAGATATTTACCGTTATTCAGGTTAAAACAAAAAGTTGTTCCAGTAATCCGTATATCTTACGAACCAATTTAATAATCTTAACGTCAAATCAACGCTAATAAAATTCTCCATAAACCATATATACATAACTTTCCGATAGGACTGATAGTTTCTGACAAATTAATTAATCATTCCATATTTTTTTTTATTTTTTAAAGAAAAAAATTTAAAAAAAATTTGAAATTTAACAGAAGAAAGTTTAAAAAAATAACAGGTTCTGTGCCAAATTTTTACATTTGTGCTAAAGCCTGTTCTGTTACAAAAATAATCAAGTTACTAATGAAGGAAGGCGAGGAATAAATAAAGAAGTAATGAGTGGTCAAATGAAAATACGCAAAGATTTTTTGTATGAAAAATGAGCATTGGGGGCAAAATTAAAAAAAAAAATATATATATAAGAAGGCGTGCATGAAACTTAAAAAATAATAATAGTGCTGTTAGATTCCCCATACCCGATATAGGGCGAAACCATCCTCTCCGGCCATGTCTTTGAAAATTTTTGAAAAAATCCATCACAGTGTTATCTATGTAACCTCATTTCCCCCCTGCAGGACGACCAACAACGCTACTTCAAGGACTCCTCCAGCTACTCTGCCGATCAGATATCGAAGCTACATGCCGATCTCACGCGCACCGAGGCGACGAACAAAATTTATCACACCCAAGTGGATGCACTGCGACGCCAGATCGCCAGCTTAACCCAACGTGAAAAACAAGCTCGCGAACTAAATCAATCGCTACGCAATCAACTCATTAAACGACCTGTGGTTTCCATTAAAACCGAATTGAATGCGCGAGTTAAAACTGAAAATCTACAGAAGCGCATACACTCACTCGAGCTGGAGCTGGAGGAAGCGCGCGCTCAAATACAACGTCAACAGATTGTGCTCGATGCAAAGCGTGCGAAAAGTGCATCCGAGGTGGGGCTGTGGGAGAAGCAGAAACGTTGGCAACAAAATGCCGAAAAGTTCAAGGCAAAATTCGAAGAGGCAGATGGCGCGTTGGAGAAGACGCGCGCGCTTCTACAGTCCGCGCGTACCATGATCGCGCGCTTGGAAAAGGAGAAACAAATGCTCGAAATGAAGCTCGGTCGAGTAGGGCAATGTGGCACAATGCAAGCTATGAAGTGTTGTCGCACGCCATCGTGTCCCAATCTGCAACGTGGTGGTGGTAAGTATACGCCTTCTGAGAGTCCGGAAACATATACGGGCGCAAGTAGTGAATGTAGTTCACCGGCGCATAGCGCGAGTGAGCGCCATAAGCATATGCTGACCCACTTCTGTGCCGCGTCGGGTGGCAGTGGCAATGTATGCGGCGCGGCAGAGAAGCACCAGCCGCATGCGGAGTTGATTGAGGCGCTGAAAGCGCGCATCGAACTGCAGCAACGCAAGATACTTGCAATGGAGTTGGAGGGTAAGGGCAGTAATGCGCTTACTACTGAAATGGAAAAATTACAGGAGAAACTTTCGGAGATCGAAGCGCAGAACATACGTTTGGAAGCGAAGAACTTACAGTTGCAACTGGATAACGATTTGATGCGACAAGGCGATGCAACCGAGCGTTTGGAGAAGCGCATCAAATATCTGGAAGAGTAAGTCGTACATAGCTGTAGAATGTTACTCTTAACAGAATCAATATTGAGTGTTGAACTTTTTTGCAGCTACATCATAGCCTTAAAAGAGGAAATGGCGCAAGCTGAAGCACGTCGGGAACTCTGCAAATGCTCGGGCATCAAGTTAAATACGCAATTAGGGCATTCTGCTGAGCAGACTATACTTTCGTTGCGTGGCATTGTGGAAAAATTGCGTGCAGAAAACAAGTTCCTTAAAGATGGGCGTCGTGCATGCGAATCTCGAGTGAGTATGGAGTTCGTTAGTAGTGTCGCAATTTGAATAAAATTTTTTTAATTCGCCTTTTCAGAATATAAATGAAACAACTAATGCTGATGTGAGTAAACTTCAAAAACTTTATGCAGAGTCGCTGGATAAAATAGCTGTTTTACAAGTTGAGTTGAATGGAAAGACGAAATGCAGAGCCTGTGGGAGGGTTAGTTAATAATAAAATACTTAAATATAAAAATATATCGGTTAACCTATAGTCAATAAAAATTACGTATCCATTTACACAGGCTGATACCCATGTTAATGACGAGATGTCCTTTATCAAGGAACAACTTAGTAAAAAGACGCAGCTACTGCAAAAAGCTAAAGTTCTACTCACACGCGCCGCAGCCAAAGAAAAAGTGCTAAAAGAGCAGCTTTTATTATGGAAGCGCAAATGTTCCGAGCTACAAAATGTACCAGTGATAGATGAAATAAGTGAATAATTGCGCAAGCTACAGTGGAAATATGTGAAATTTTAATTTATTGATTTTCTTCAATCTTGTTTAACATATTTTTTTTGCAATATACTTGCGACAATAACATAGTCAACCAGCCAAAAACTTGTAGTTTCTAATTTAAAAAATATGTTGTTCATTTCATTTCAACTTCATTGGGATGGTACTTTAACTGGAGTGTAATAGTGGTTGGCATATTCACATCACTGACCATGATACTCGCACCATCATATAGTCCCAATTCGGCCAGCGACATTGTAAGATTTCCGCGTGTTTGTTCCTCTATATTCTTCACAGCGGACATATAAAGCGTTTTATTTTTGCCGTCAATAATTGTTGTCAAACCTACCAAAATTATATATATATGTACTCTTTACCATGATAGAAAAAATACTTTACTACTTAAATTGCATTATATATTATTTTTTTTATATTTCACACCTGGACTTTTTAGCTGAAAACGCGGACTATCGCAAAGTATTTTAATTAGATCATCAAGCGTAGTTGTATTTGGGTCATCAACATTTAAATCTTGTGGTGTGTTACTGCAAGCCAAGCAAATATCGCTCTTCTCCGGCGGATAAGTGTACGTGTAAATGCCTTCCATGTCGTTAAAATTCATGTAGTTATTCATGCTGTCGTAACAACTAGTAGCCAATTTGAAGACCTGTGTATTCAGAAAATACATTAACAAATTATTCTACAACTGTTGGACATCTTTCGTATTTACCTCGGTGGCGCAAGCTGCAGCTATTACGGCATTGGTGCTCGCCACAGCTGGAATGATGTTTTTAATAACACCTTGCACAAGCCTTTTAAAATAATTTAAAAGGAAACACGCGACAGGAATTAATACGAAAGTAATGCTTTTCTGTTAATTGATCCACTCACCTGTAAGTGACTCCGGAAATATTGTATTGATTTGCACGCTCTAACGAACGTTCGTATACCCACGCAACATGTTGCGGATCGTCGCCATCTAATGGTACACTAAAGGGATTTTCTTTCTCCCATTGTATGATTTTTACATATTCTATGCAATGTTCTGGCAGACGTGGCGTATTGGCGATAGTGCACAATGGATATGTAACTTGCGGTGGAAACAAGTCCAACGTACATTCAATGCAAGACGTGAAACCAGGTAAGATAACACGCGCATTGCCTTTGAACCCTTCAGTACCGCCATCAATCAATGGAATAATTGTCGATGGATCAACACTGCCGTCTTCATTGTAGTCCAACATGGAAATCAACATGCCATTTATCCAACGACGCGCCACTATCGAATCTAGTCCACATACTATGATATGAAATTGTGAATAAAAACTTTCATCAAAATCTTGAATTTTAGAAAAATGTGGTGTCACGCGGCAAGTGGGTACACGTTCGTTTATAAAGCGCGCTGCACACTCCGCTTTCGATAAGCCAAGATCTTTGCGCCGGAAAAGAAATTGACGATTCAAGTTCGACAATTCTATTGTGTCCATATCGATTACATGCAAATTGCCAAAACCCATCATTGCAAGATCTTTCAGCAGCTCACATCCAAGGCCGCCGGCACCTAACACAAAGTAAAACATAAGAGTTTTTTTGTTCGTTTTTATTAACATTTACATAGGTACCAATAACTAGAACTTTAAGCGCAGTTTGTAAAACTTCCAAATTTTCGGCTGATGCTGTAAAATCAGCTTTGCAGAATGGTCCCGGGCGCTCCAATATATGGCGTAGACTATTCCAACGTTTGCTGTTTAATGAGCCGAGAGGATTAGGTGACCCCGTAGAAACAATTCCTAGATCAGTAGCCATTTTTTTATATATCACAAGCTAAATTTAATAAAATCCTAGACCTTTCAAACTAATTGAATAAAAAAAAATCTAAAATCGTAAATCAGCTGGAGATTTTAAACAGCTGTTTACCGGCAAAACAAAAAGGCAGTGGTGCCAATTCCCTTTAAAAGATATTTTGCGCCCATTGGTTATGGAATACGTTTTCGCCCTATTACGTTACGTGGAAGGTTATAATAAAATGTCAACCAAAAAAGGATTTTATGTATAATACATAAAAAATAAATAATATAAATTTCTGTAGCATTAATTTAGCAATTTTCTTCAAGAAAGGTAATTTTTGGGAAAATTTTCCTTTTTTAATTTTTGACTTAGAACTGTAAAAAGCATAAAAATTATGGGCATAAATGCGGTTGGGCCAAAGAACGTAAGAAAATAAGTTAGATTTACCTTCTTTGGTAGAACCCGCTAAAAAAAAATCGTTTTTTTCACTCTCTTGTTCTTACGTATCTTGTGTCTTTCGTTCACGGTATAAAATATCGTCAATAGTATCGATAGTCATGTACTGTTGATAGTCAGCACCATCGATTGTTGCGATAGTGACGCACCATCGATACTATCATAGTGCCATCGATAGTTTGCCATCTCTATTAGGTCGGTGTTATGCAGAAATTTTGTTTGGCAAACTGCGTGCAATTGTTGTTGCAGCAAACTCGGAGAGAGCGAGTTTGGCGACTCTCACAGCAAACTAATTTTGTTTGGTCAAACTGCAGCAAATTCGGTGTTGTCATATACAAAAATTTTAGACAATTGTTGCTATACACATAAAATTTCCGTGATACCGAAAGCCAGAGAACTTAATTTATGCTGTAGGAGCTTCAAAAATTAGGGCACAGTTAATTGCCTATACGATATCATAAAAAATATATATTATGTACATCTGAAATTCTCATTTCGTGCTGGCAATAGCCATGAAAACCATAATGAACGTGCAACCCTGTGCCAAACTCGGCATAACCACCTCCGAGCAAACTAAGCAGCCGCCATTTAATTTGGCAAACAAAAGTTTGTCTGCATAACACCGACCTTATTGTTTATTTCAGGATTACGCTTCTCACCAGTTTTGCCGCCATTATCATACGAAAAAGTGTGATCTACATCGAAAAATTTTAGTTTTACCGGCTGCCACGCGATTAATGAAAACAAGAAGGGACTTGATAAGTTTACACTATTAAAAAATATTGAAATGTCCACAAATGAACAAGGTAGTTGTTCAAGGAGTCCAGGTAAGGTTTTTTTTTTGTGGTTTAAATGAATGGCAAGGACAAGCTTGTCCCCACAAGGCCAGCTTAATACTCCGAATTACAAGCACAAATATTGTTAGTTGCCAGAAAAAATCGCGATATACTAATAAAATGAGAGTGGTGGACGGTATGTGTGCCGCCAATAAACCAATAGTACTAGAATTCGGATTTAACTTCGATTTTTTGCAAAAATTTCGCTAGTTGAGCGTTCTGTCTATCAAAATTGTGAAATATTTCAGTGAAGTTAGTACAATTCTGGAGGACCTCGAATTCCTCCCTGGCTTCATTGAGCGGACTGCAGCCAAAGGTTTGATCAATTTTTTTTTTTTTTTGGAGTCTAGATTCTAGGCCGGGATACTTAGATCCACACAAAACCGCGGTTGTTCCTCTTGGGTGGTTGTTTCGACGATATAAAACGATGGCCAGCCCAGTGGGTCCAAAACACTAAGCTGCTCCAGTAATGTATTCGAAAGTTGTTAGACGGTATTTTTTGTCAAATGCTTAAATGTGCATAAGCTTTGTCTTTTCCATAGACTTTGCTGCATGTTAGGTGAGGTTTATAACGAAAGGCTTGTGGCCAGTAGGACTTTGCGCATCAGTCGTCGTTGTGATCCAGAATTAAAAATCGAGCAGCAATGTAGCTTGAGGCTTATACGTATTGACGTATATTTTAACAGCGTGGATTATCGGGTTTTGAGCGAAATGGGTTCGGATGGGAATGTTACAAATACAGGGTTGTACATAAATACAAAAGGGGTTTAGTAATTAAAAATTAACGTTGGCTTTTTGTAAAAATTTAGAAAGCTGTGTAACCTTGGCTGTGTTGTTTCCATTAAAGATCTCTCCAAAAGTTTTGTGGTTTTTGATAATTTCGAAATTGTTTCTGATATTCATGAGTCTCCTGCAGTGGAACGTCTGGTGCACGTAGCCACCAGCTTGTCCACAGAAACATTGATTTGTATTTAAAGCATTAATTTTACATAGATAAGTTCTGTCATAGGTATGACCGGTTAAGATTCTATTCAGTCGTTTGACCTCAGCAGGGGACAGTAAAAGTTTCCTGAACCATGTCTGTTTTTTCCTATTGACAAAGGTAGAAGCAAAGAGGTTAGGGTGATTCCGTGAGTATTCCAAAAAGGATTTATACCAAATGTTGTACATGTCATCTTTTATCTGCTTTGTTGCTTCGTCCATCGTGAGTCTGTAGTTTCTGCTAGAACTATTTATCGTTGCATTTTTGGCAATTTCGTCAGCTTTCTCATTACCTGAAATCCCTTTATGGCTAGGCGTCCATACAATGTCTATTAGGAAATTTGCTTCAGATGCTTTCCTGAAAATCTCACAGGCAATACTATTTGTGGTTTTGGGTTGTTTTAGTATTTGACAAGAAATTAGACTGTCAGTGAATATGGCCAGCTTGCAATACCTCTTCCTTTTTGCTATTTAAATCGCTTCATCTATGGCAAGGAGCTCACCAAAGGATGATGAAGTCTTAATTGGGATATGAAATGCATGTTCGAATTGTCAGAGAGGTCAAAAATGCCACAGCCAGTTGTTTGATCCGCTAAAGACGCATCAGTGTACATGATCTGATAATCATCCGCCAAATAGTCATTCAAGAGTTTGGCATAATGCGCTTTGAGATACTCAGACGTTAAGGAGGCTTTATTGCCTGTTAAGGGTTTCAGAAAGATTTTAATATTAGGAGGTGAGGAACAGCAGTCAACCGCATCAAGACGGTCAAAAATGTGTTGATACTGTCGGTATACTGTAGAGTAACTTGAGTTTAAACCTGGATTTTCTGTGATGGAATTAGCCAGAGGAGTATTATGGATAAAGATCTTAATCAGCTCTTTTGCAGTGAGCCACCGAGAACGCTCAGGAGGTGGGAGCTCATTCGCAATGGCGTAGATGGTGG